TCAAAACTAGTTTTTTTAATAGATCTGCATTGACGTGTTTGGCAAATTCCTTTTGAAAGAATAATGGCACTTAATAATTATAAAAATAATGCGTCAGCTGAGTCACGGGGATTTCAGAAGGATCCTATGGAGATTGATATGGTTTGGCCTATTCCTTATAAAAGAATGACAACTATTCTCAATTGTTTATCCGGCAATATCCTCACCAAGTCTACATACTCAAGTTATTTTAATCCCTTTGTCAACCCACTGCTGGATGAGGGAATTGCCATGCTGTGTCAGTCGTGGCAATTATTGGACCATACTTCACCGCGCTGGTTAGTGCGGGCTGGTGAAGTATTTCACTCCTTACAGGCCGACTGATATATTTATTCATATGTACAGTATACATACTTGATGGTGAAAGAGACATTTCAGTTTAACACGTAGGCTTTCGCGACCAATATTATTCATAATAAAGGTTTTTGGGTTAGATCGCGTTTATTTATAAATGTGTCGTAACCCTCCACCACCCGACACGGCCAATCAGCAAAAAAAGTGTCACGTTGACAAAAGACAAATAATTCACTACTTCAGCCCACCGGTGTGTTGAAGAGTTAATCCACATTTACAGTTTGAGTACGACGTTTCGCTGGTAAATACTTCCAGCATCATCGGGCAATTCGCCATTCTGGCGAATTTCCAGCGAAACGTCGTACTCAAACTGTAAATGTGGATTAACTCTTCAACACACCGGTGGGCTGAAGTAGTGAATTATTTGTCTTTTGTCAACGTGACACTTTTTTTGCTGATTGGCCGTGTCGGGTGGTGGAGGGTTACGACACATTTATAAATAAACGCGATCTAACCCAAAAACCTTTATTATGAAAGAGACATTTGTTTCGTGTTTGTATCACCTTAGTTGTATAACGTCACAAGAATAAATAATGTTATTGTATTTACTCAAGAAAGCCTGCATGAGTGTGGAAACTTTAATGCGATTGCGGCTACATTGGGAGGATATTTGGTCACTAATTAAATTAAAGGGAGTTTAGCTGCTCGTTGGATGAGACTGAAGCACACTGAGAAACGAGGCGTTGCTAGGTAAATAAAATGCTTTTGTTTTGCATGATGGACAAATTAAAACAAATGCAGAACAAATAAGGAAAATAACAACGGGGACTAGGAAAGAAGTCACCAATGCTGCCGTGAAAGTAAAAAAAAAATCAGTGCAAACGGGCAGGACCAGGACCCCATCGTTGGAACCAACTGAAGTCGAGAGACAGAGGGAACTCTTATCGAGTGGAGAGAGAAAGAAGGGCGACGAGACAGCAGAGGAGAAGAGAGAAGCAGCAATCGCAACAACCATATGACATTAGAGGGTTTGGAGGTCACTATTGGACAGGAGCAATTGACTGGGGAAATGATGGAACGGAGAGATATTTGGGGATGCAGTTGCCCAGCAGTCGGAATTACGGGGCTGTGAACAATAACACTCACGTAGAGACCCCACAGACTCAAATAGAGACCCATAGACTCACAGTGATCCACAGACCCACGCACAGACCCACGCATTCACATCGAGACACACATACTAACATAGATACCCACAGCCTCACATAGAGACCCAAAGACTTACACAGAGACGCAAAGACTCACTCACAGAGACCCATACTCACACAGCGACCCAAAAACTCGCACAGAGACTCACACAGAGACTCACATAGAGACCCAGAGACTCATAGAGTCCCAAAGACTCATACAGAGACGCAAAGACTCACTTACAGAGACCCATAGACTCACATAGAGACCCAAAGACTCGCACAGACACCCAGAGACTCACAAAGAGTCCCAGAGACTCACACGGAGACCCACAGACTCACATAGAGACGCACGTACAAAGTAGTTACTGGTAAGAAAACGGGGGAGGCCTTTGTCCAGTGGTTGGAAGTTGCTGACTGATAAACATTTCAGTAGAATTCTTGTGACGTTACCAACAACAATTGTGGCTGCCACCACAGTGTTGCAAACACTGTGATTAAAAGGTTCGCTTCACCGCCTTATGCATAAGAGTAAACACGAATTAACCTGTGGGCCGTCTGGAATGCTTTCAAGTCGGAATCAAAGAAGCATATTCAACGCGCAACCGACCAGCGTAGTGAAGTATGGTCAAACAACCCCGCTACGACTAACACGTGGCGTGTAAAAAGAGGCCTTAATCATCGTTAATTATGTGAGGCGAGTCCCGATTTAGGTGATATCTGATCCGCATCAACCAGCGTGGTGAAGTATGGCAAAGTAGCACAATCAATGATCAATTTTACGAATGAAACTCTGTGGAGGCCGCTGCTCCCCGAATCCCCCACTTCCTTGCGATCCGAGGCTCTCCTCTGAGACGATTTAAAGTCCGTGTAAACAGCCACGCGTGCACAAGGCACTCCACCCTCCTATTCGCACTCACAAAGACCACACGACACGGTTTATCCTCTACTGATGATTTGTTCCCGCGATTAAACCAACTAAACTCCGCGTGTTTGTGTGGGTCAGCAGACACTAACCTATCCCTCGGTGATCTGGGACTCAATTTATCCCGCCTGTCGCTCCACTTTCTACCCTCTGGTTAATTAGCCCAAACTCACCTCTCCCTTACTTACTCTTGCTCCCCACTCTGATGCGCCGGAAGCTGTGGAAGGGCGATGCTGCACGTCGTCTCCGTGGAGAACCGGGCCCGGCTGCGCTGGAGGCTCGTCACACGGACGATTCGAACTGCTGGCCGACCACTCCGCTGACCTCGATGCCTTGAAGAACACCGACCCTCACTGCCTGTTTCACCCCCCTTTTATCGTCCTTACAAGAAAAGATACCCTTGCGGTCCCGCTCCCCTGGCCCGCCGTCCAATCAGGGGCCCGGGATTTCGGATTCGTGCTCTCTCCGACGTCCGCTTACCTGCCCCTGTGTCTATTTGCCTGCTGACCCGTGTTGAGCGTGGGTGTTTCTATCTGCGGTGGCTCAGCAGCCCCCGTCGTGCCCATGTGATTACCCCCCCAGGTCACGGCGCCGCGGTGCGCGTCAGCCTTGGGGTAAGTCGCCCAATTCCCTGGCCGCGGGAAACCGTGAAGCTTGGTCCCACGAGGGGCTTCTGGGTGAAAACCTGCCGGCCAGGTGACCTCCCCTCGGGGCTCTATGTGGGGGTGTGTGTGTGTTCATGTGGGGGCTCCATGTGGGGGTGTGTGTTCATGTGGGGGCTCTACGTGGGGGTGTGTGTTCATGTGGGGGCTCTACGTGGGGGTGTGTGTGTGTATTCATGTGGGGGCTCTATGTGGGGGGTATGTGTGTGTGTGTTCATGTGGGGGCTCTATGTGGGGGGTATGTGTGTGTGTTCATGTGGGGGGTGGTGAGGAACGAGCAGCGTCGGCCCCGTCGCTCTTTGGCGGCGGCGTCACGGTGGTGGGCACGGCTCCGACGGAGCGGCCTCGTTGTGGTGGCACCACAACTCCATGGTTTGTGGTGGCACCACAACTCCATGGTTAGTGGTGGCACCACAGCTCCATGGTTTGTGGTGGCACAACTCCATGGTTAGTGGTGGCACCACAACTCCATGGTTTGTGGTGGCACCACAACTCCATGGTTTGTGGTGGCACAACTCCATGGTTTGTGGTGGCACCACAACTCCATGGTTTGTGGTGGCACAACTCCATGGTTTGCGGTGGCACCACAACTCCATGGTTTGTGGTGGCACCACAACTCCATGGTTTGTGGGAGGGACCGCCGCCTTCATCCAGCAGTGGACTGAACGTGTGGCAGGCAATGATGTTTCAACACCAAGCTGACAAACACAATGTACACGTGCATTTCCACAAAGCACTTTGTGTATGGGTTTAATGTATCGACAGCGAAGCGAGGTTGTCAATTGCCAACACTCCCTCGAATAGTCGAGAACAATCAGGTAATTTGAATGAATGTAAACAAAAAAATAATGTTCCAGTGAGATGTTAGTTTTAAAAAGTGTAACTTTAAAAAAATCGTGGCTTGTATTAGAATGCCCGCGCCAGCACGAATACAGTATTAGTGTTTCCCTACAATGTAGTTTCAGTTGTCGCGTAAAATGTTATATATTTTTTTAAATCTTAATTGACTGGGGTTCTACCTCAGATCTGTGGCCGTATTCTCGAAAAAACTCGTCACACAAAGACATAAACGTGCCAAAGTGTCAATAACAATCATCATGATGATGAATGCTTGTGTTGGCAGTCGAAACGTCGTGAGAATTTTATTGTTTTATATTTTTATTATTTTATTTCCCTTCTACTTGGTGACTTTACCGAAAGAACCATAGAGTATGGATTCCCTGCAGTCACGAAAGCTTCAAATCTAGATTGTCAATAACAAGTTACACGTCTACAAATGTGTTGCTAAGTCAAATCATCCCCCCCCCGTATAACCTTAATAGACTATGTTGTTGGGGCTAAGTGCTGTTAGCGAGTAGCACCTATGAAGGCCGGCACGGCACACGAGGGGGGTGGGTGGCCAGCACCACGCCCGGCCGCCTTTGTCTCCCCCGGTGGCGATGTTTACTACACACCGCACCAGGTACCTCATTTGAGGCCGAGTCGACCTAGGGGGGGGGGGGGAGGGAGAGCCCAGGACCGGTTCGGATGATTCGTCCCCACTGCGTGTTGGTGGCCGTGAGCGGGAATCGGAACTCGGACGGGATTCACAGCGCGGCGCGCCGAACAGCTGCTACACAATACGTCAAAACCACCGCCACAACCAACAACAACACCACACACACACAAAGAAAACACCTACACTTTAGCTCTTTCAAACTTTTATATTTTTTTATAAATATTGTACAGAGGGAGGAGGGTGCAAGATGCGTCTTACATTCCGGGGAATGTCGACGTTCGATTGCTCTCGACTGAGAGCAATCGAGCGTCGACATTTAGATCGGGGGCGGCGGGCGGGGGGGGGGCGTGTCTCTGTGCGTTACAACACTTTTTTTTTTACAAATTATATATACAAAAAATTAAAACTATCACGCGGGCGGGTTTGAATTTGAACGTCAAAAATAACGCCGATATAATTTTTGTTAAAAATAAAAAAACATTTTTTTTCATAACGAATCTCCTTCTCCAGCAACCGCGGTGCGGTCGATCGACGCGAGCGACGCTCCATTCGCCGTTGGATGCTTCTAGAATGCCCGGATGTTAAGGCTGAACTTTACACGACGGTTAAGGTTGTGCGTTTTTTTATTTAAAAAAATACATTTCACTCCTTTCTTCACTTCAAAGTCACGTTTTTTTGCAATACGATCCCTTTGTTTCTCTTGTTTACGTAATATATTTGTTTAGTTTTTAACACGTCGATACATTTTTTGATTGTTATATATAGCATTCGTTATTCCAGCATCACTATCATGCGATAATCCGATTGATTAATCTGAACACTTTTAGTGACCGATATTTGAAAATAAATCTGCACATTGTCGCTATCACCGGATATTGTAATTATATACCGTTGATAAAAAATCGTTAATAAATTCGTTAACACAAACTCCGTTCGCGCCAAACCGTTCAACGGCTGTCACGCTTATGACACGCAACATTTACTTTTAACACAGATTTATAAAACATGTCGTTATTTATTCTTATTCAAACATCAACACACACTCGTTAACACCACGCACACATCACATTATTTAGTAACAACTCATTCGCAGCAACCTATCGCTTTATCAACTCTCCACAAACGCACAGACACACACACCACTGACAACACATTACTTTTGTTTTAAACTCACTATTAAAAAAAATTATAAATCCACAAGCGCCTACGGACAACATTCATATTATCATCTTTAAATATTTATTTTGCACCAACCAAGTTGTGCCCCGGGTATCCTTAACGCAGACACGGCCACACGCTACACCACACACAATGGCGTGACAGTTACACAGCCACACGCAACAAACACCCCCTCCTCAGTAACACCGACATCCTCAACAACAACTACTACAACAACCGTAACAACAACTACAACAACATCCCGCTCGTCGCCTAACACAACAAGCGAAGGCGGCTGGCAGAAGAAGGAAGGAGGAGGAGGAAGGAGGAGGAGGGAGATACGAAGGAGGAAGACACCGACGACGAACCGACCAACAAACCACACACGCGAGTTGCATGGTGGTGGTGGTTGTTGTTATTGTAACGAAAGAGACGGAGTGACACGGGGCCACGATGCCGCAAGGGTTCGGGTTGGACTTGGGGTTCGAACTCCATGGACCCGGCGGCCCCGGAGGCTCGCTAACCTCCGGGGCCTCCTCCGTCTACCGCTGGTTCGGAGCGCTGGGTCCCTCGTCCCGACTCGAGTTCGCCTGCGGCCTCCTCGACCTCGTCAACCCCCTCGAGCTGCGCTTCCTCGCCGCCTGCCTCGAGGAGTTGGCCCGCAAGGACTACCACTCGCTGCGGGACGCCGAGGCCAGGGCCAACAACGCGGCCGACGTGATGATGATGGACGTGGCGGGTGGCGGCGGTTACGAGGACGATGGCGGTGGCGGTGATGGCGAAGAAGAAGGCGAAGAAGAAGGCGGAGATCGCGTTGGATGTGCAGGAGGAGTGGGTGACGCAGCGGGGCACGGACCCGTCGGCGTGGTACGGGCGAGCGATGGGGATGCTGGGGGACACGGCGGCGGTGGTGGAGTCATTGGGGGTGTCGGACGCGATGGCTCCGCGGGGACTTTGGTCGCCCCCGGAGGTCACGGAGGAGCCGGCGCGACTGCGGGAAGAGCGGCAGCGGGAGGAGGCGGAGGAGGACGCCACAGGGGCCTACCCCTAGCCGCCTCGGCCCGCAGCCGGCTCGTGGTGTCCGCGGCGCTCCTCCGCTCCGACAACCGCGAGGCCGCCTCGGCCCTCTACGCCGCCCTCGGAGGAGCAGCGCTGGCGGAGGACGGCGACGAAGACGAAGGCTGCGACGAGACCCTCACGCTGCTTCTCACCATGGCCGTCAACCACCCGGCCTTCTCGTTCCAGCAGAAGCGGACGCTGAGGAGGAGGCTCGCGGCCCTCCAGAGAGCGGCCCGAGCCGCGGCCGAGCAGCAGCAGCAGCAGCTGGTGCAGCAGCAGCAGGCGGCGGCGGCCTCGGGCGAGGAGAGCGACGCAGGCCAACAGCAGCAGCAGCAGCGTGCCAAGGTGGTGATGGTGGTGATGCTTGATGGTTGTTGTATCAAGGTGGTGGTGTCAAGGTGGTGGTGTTGATGATGGGTGTGGTTGTGTCAAGGTGGTGGTAGTGATGATGGTTGTGGTTGTGGTGTCAAGGCGGCGGTAGTGGTGTTGATGCTTGGTGGTCGTGGTTGTGGTGTCAAGGTGGTGGTGTTGATGATGGTTGTGGTTGTGTTAAGGTAGTGGTAGTGATGATGGTTGTGGTGTCGAGGTGGTGGTAGTGGTGTTGATGATGGTTGTGGTGTCACGGTGGTGGTGGTGGTGATGATGGTTGTGGTGTCAAGGTGGTGGTGGTGATGATGGTTGTTGTGTCAAGGTGGTGGTGTTGATGATGGTTGTGGTGTCAAGGTGGTGGTGTTGATGATGGTTGTGGTGTCAAGGTGGTGGTAGTGATGGTGGTTGTGGTGTCAAGGTGGTGGTAGTGATGGTGGTTGTGGTGTCAAGGTGGTGGTAGTGGTGTTGATGATGGTTGTGGTGTCAAGGTGGTGGTGATGATGGTTGTGGTGTCAAGGTGGTGGTGTTGATGGTGGTTGTGGTGTCAAGGTGGTGGTGTTGATGGTGGTTGTGGTGTCAAGGTGGTGGTGGTGATGATTTGGTGGCTGTGGTGACGGTGGTCGTGGTTGTGGTGGTGATGAAGATGCTGGTCGTTGTGGTGTCAAGGTGGTGGTGGTGATGCTTGGTGGTCGTGGTGGAGATTTGTGGTGACAAGGTGGTGGTGATGCTGGGGATCGTGGTGATCGTGGTCAAGATTGTGGTACCGAGGTGGTGATGCTTGTGATTATGGTGGAGGTTGTGGTCCCTTTGGCTCATAACCAAAAGTTAGGAGTTGTATACAGTGGTTGTGTTGTTATTGGGTTGTTGTACGTGTAAGTGTTGGGCGAGATGTCTCGTCAACTTCTGGCGCAGATTTCGGTGTTTTCCATCCCCTGTTTATGATCACCTGGTTTAGGGTAATGCAACTTCACTACCACTATTTTAATTGGATTCCATGCCCAACGTCATCACTGACGGATTAGGAATACCAAATGTCACCAACTCTTGAATTAATTGACTTTTGTGCCATCTTCATGATCACTTATTTGATTGTGGACATGAAACTTACAACACCACCATTACCACCACTACTTACAACACCACCATTACCAGCACTACTTTCCTTCGCTTCTAGAACAATCTGCATCATTGACACCTCAGTGATATTCAATATTTTTTTATCACCACCACCACTTTAATTGATTGGCGTCCATGCCGTCTTCACGACTACCTGATTTGGGATATTAAACTTCAGCGCCAACTCCTGCACCATCGGCTTCAAATTTGAGAATCATAATATATTTTTTTTATACTGAAGGAATCCGATGAGCTATGAAGCTCTTTTTCACGGATGTTCAGTAGGGGCATGGCAGAAAGCAATGCAAAAATACAATGATGGTAATGGCCAAGCTGATAATGGCGGTAGTGATGATGGAGACAAGTGTAGAGGTGATTTGAGTCTCGAGTGTGTGGCATTTATGGTATTAATGGGAAAATTAGGAGAACTTTGAATGTGTTGATTATTCCAGTTAAGGCGACCACTGCTGCCTTTTCGTACAAGCCCCGAGTGAACTTTTGTTTTGTGGAAGAGCACTCTTTCTCCTACCCCCCCCCCCATCGTATGGATATCTATTACCCCTCAGCAACGTGTGCTGTCAACTCCCCGCCTCAGGTCAAGTCCAGCCTCAGCACCTTTTCTTCCGTGCCTGTGACTCACTTGGCAAAAGAAAAACAAATTTCCCAATGTTTCTGTACAGTGTCCTTGAGATGTGGGGTGGGGTCACATTGAGCGACGATTTAAAATCGAAAATGTATTGTTCGTGTAAGTGGGCATTGCGTAAAAAGCCATGCAGTCCTTTGATTAATTACAACACTGGACTGACGCCGGCTGCTTGGAAGGGGGATGTGAGTCGTTGATATTTGGGTTTTCATTTGTGGTGGCGTGAACCAGTGGGTTGCGTGTCCCTTACTCAACTCGCAGTTTTGAATCGAGTACATTATTATCTAATAAATACCATCCGCGTCGGCAGCCTCGCCACCAGAGCCAATTGAAAAAGAAATAAAAACTTTGATGACATCTGAAAGACTAAAATAACTCTGTAACCAGGCATGACCCGTTTGAGATTAGATTTTTGCCAGCGAAAAGCTACATTCGATCAGAGAAGAGCTTCATTCGAACGGACGGCTTTGATATCTATATTTTTTGTCGATGAGAGCGATCATACCGGAAGATTGTTTTTTTGGTTCCGCTTTTAGCTCCAGAACCAAAAGTCGTGGGAGGATGAGGAATGCACTAAAATTGAATCACAAAAAAAACCTCTTTTCAAAATGCAAATCTGTGTCATGAGAGAGCATGACCTGACCTCTGTAGAGCAGGCAAAAAAAAAACCACGTTGACCGAAGTGATTAGTCAATTATAATTCCGCACCAGAAATTTATCTCGAGGGATGGCTGAATTTCAGTATTTTTCTAAATCAACACATTTCAATTTATTAATTTATTTGTAGGATATTCGTTGTGATTGTTATCATCATCGTACTATTTTAGATGTGTTTAAAGATGTTTCTTTCCGCATGTCATTAGGAAACCGACATTAGTGCAAGAATAAGAAATTCACTTAAATTCTCACGAAATATTCCTTTCCAAGATGAAAATCTGCGTGTGCTTTTGAACGCGCATGACCCCACCTGTACAGCAAACTAAAAATGAGATAGGATGGAGTGATTGGTTAATTGTGATTCTGCACCAGAACTTAATATCGAGGGATGGCTTATTTACAGTGTTTTTTTAAATCATATTACAGTATCATTACTCTTTAACTAGTTGTAGTTTTATAAATGTATTTCACGTTGTTTTCATCGTCATCGCACTACTTGAGTTATATCGAAAAATGCCTGTCCGCTGTTCTGCTTTTAATTGGAGAACTGAAAATAGCGCGGGATGAGAACCCCCTGTGTACGAACGAGGTGATCAGACGGCACGGAGGGCGCCGTGAAAGCGAGCGATCTAACTTGGGGAAGGCATAGCTTGAAGAGAGGGCCCCTTGCCTATAACAACTGGCAGTTCAAGGGCATTGATTCACAAGCAGGCAAGCCTCCTGACGCTGCTGATGAGACGCTGTATGTCAAAAGCTGGTCCCGACTTCAGCTTCCACTGACTCAACGTTGCTGAAATGATGCACTCTCAGAAGGCCGTTGACCCGATGGGTCGTGTAAAAAAATATCTTATTTATTTTTTAGCGGACAGATAGATGTGTGCAGGAGATGTATTGTCTGCTTATCTATACTGTTCAAACGTGGATTTTTGGCGATGACGCTGCTTTTCTGAAGGTTCGGAGCTTTGAATGCTTGGATTGAACCTTGGTCCCAGCATCTGATGACTTTGGTATACAAGTTACAGGCTAATAGTACTTTATAGATCTTGGCGATTGTGCTTTATTATGGGTTTCGGATGTACTTTCGGGTTACACCGCCTTGTGTTGCTCGGCACGACGTCCGACGTTTCCCTCCCAAGTGCCGGGAGCGTGAATTCATTTCCAGAAGAAGCTTCCGGCACATGGAGCGAAAACGTCTTGACATGGTGCTGGAGGACGACACGCGGCACGATCCGAAAAAAACAAAACACAGGGCCTCCTCTTGCGTGGCCATCAAAAAGACCATTTAATGTCGTACGACGTGAAAGGCATCAATGAGTCATTGTGCTTGAGCAAATAAACGTGATCGCTTGGATTGGGACTTCCAGGCCGAGCTGCTGGAACAGTGTATATATAGAATATTCCAGAAGTGCATCTGACCGAGAGTTCAAAATCTGTAGCAGATGCCCGCAGCGAGGGGAGTTGAACTGTGGACTTGGTGTTAAATGGTTGAGTGGCCGCTACTCTGCTGAGACGCAGCAGAGTAGCTGGCTGGAGAGCACGCCAAGCCAAGGCATACAGCTTAACGTCGATAATCTAATAAGATATCAGCGTGGGGACGCGGAGGAACGGATATTGAGGCATTCCTTTGCTTGGCGTACAGTTATTTTATTTTACTTCTCTTCTGGAAATATTTATACTGGAGGAATCCGATGAGCTGTAAAGCTCTTTTTCATAGATGTCCAGTCGGGGCGCGTGGGTTAGAACCCTCACAACAACAAACAGTACTTAAACAGGATGGGACTGCAAAGTATTCGAAAGGTAAACAGATCAGTTTAAAAAAAATATATACAAATAAAACTATTTTTTATCCTACCAGGTAAAGCCACTGAGCTATTAGTTTCTTTTTCAGAAGCGAACCCGGCCACAAATGACAGCTCAGAGAAGCGGCCCATCGTGTGGAAGTTTACAGTAGCAAAATTATCTAAATAATATAGACGCGCATATTCATATTACACTTCTTCTCCCGCGTTTAAAAGCACCCGATATTAAACGGACTGCATCGACACGCGGACCTCGATATGACCGCTCTACGGAAGGAGACCCCTTGGTTGATAATTGACATTGCCGTACCCATCAAAATCGCCCAGGAACGTAAGACCGATCGTGCCAGGTCTCGGAAGCTAAGCCGGGAGGAGGGGGGGGGAGTTTCATCGCCCTAGAAAGTTATCTTGGATGAGCGATCGGCCACGTATACAACAGGTGTTATAGGCTGTTGGGGGCGGGGGGTGGGGTTCTATTTTGTGGGCTCCAGAGGGCAATGCAGGAAAGCTTTGCCGTATCGATATACTTCCAACGTCTATGCTGCCCGCCTTCACGAGAGAGCGTGCATCGGCCGGCGCGGTGAAGTGTGTCCAAAGAACTGCTATCAGCCATACAGCATGGTGGAGGCTGTCATCTAGCAGTGCGTTGACGGAGCGGACTCTACATGTACACGTGCCCAACGTTAGCATAGCACGTGCGCTTGAGTGTGCCGTGTTTTTGCCATGCGCACACATGTGCTCTGTGGCACGATTTCAAATAATTGTTTCAGCAGTGTCCAGTGTAATGTAGGATCTAAGTAAAGTGAATAATGTAGCACCTACGTCAAATGAATGTATACAGACAGCCGAGTTAGAAAGCAGTGGGCCCCTTGAAAGATGCGATAGGCACTAAAGGGCCAAGTTGTATAAACCGAGAGTCCTTCTCAAGATCTGTTGTTTAAGTGGCCATGCAACTTCCTGTCATCTTGGAAATTGCATCCCGTAGTGATATCTTTAAAAAGTTAACTACACTGTTTGAAAAGCCCACGCAGCTATTAGAGCCTTTTCAAAGGCGCCCTGGCCACACATGATAGCTCATCGAAGTGGCTTATATAATCACACGTGGGAATTTATGGAAGCTGCCAAATCATCTAAATGTATGTTTTTAAATGTGGAGGGCAAAACTTGAGGACCTGGAGAAAAATCCACGCGACCACAGGGAGCGAGAACATGCGAACTCCAAATATACAGGCGTAAGGGTACGGGATCGAACCCACCACCTCCTGTTTACCAGGCGAGGGAGATAACAGCTCACTACCGCGCCAGTTGACTCTTCTAAAATTGATCACTTCAGCGATTCCTTAATCTACTGCTCGGTGCAGGTCTCCCCACGGTTGTGACAGTCGCAGGCTTGGTGAAGGTGAGGGTTTGTCAGAACTGGTTTACCCATCGCTCGCCACTGATGTGAGTTCAGGCTAGGAATCGAAATAACGACCCACCAGGTTCATTGCAAAATGGTGTGTGAATCACTTGTGTCGCCGCTACCGAACGCTTCACACTGTACAGTTACAAAAACAATACTTGAGTTCACATACAGTCATGAATGGAGTTGACCAATGATCTCAAGAGAGGATCACAAAGATTGGGCAATTGTTGGTACTAGTTCTGGCTCCTTGTGATTTCCCCGCACCTCTGCATCATTCTCTCTCTGACAGTGAACGGAAACTGCATTACAAACTAAACAATTATTATTTTAAAACTATTTGAACTCATGTGATATACTCCTTACTTTTCAGATGAATAGACTTTAACTTTAGGTGCTGTGGAACATCAGTAATCTTCAATGGCCTCTGAAGTGTAGTTTTAATTTCTCGTATATATTACATCTATTATTAAATAATCACGTCATACCTGCTATTAAATGGGTATCGGGGACGTGGGAACTGACAGATGAAGATGGAACAAAAGCTTTAACATTGGGCATTGAATAATGGAACACGTGGATTAGAGATGACACACAATGTAGCTGTTTTAAGCCACAGCTCTTTAAGCCGACATGTTTTAATACGTAGCAATGCATATACAAAAAATACACCATCGGAGCTCAATGTCTTCTCAATGACCGCTGATTAAAGATGTAACTTTGACTGTCGTGAAAAGTTAAAAGTGGGCCTGTTGAGGACACGTCGCTTGGATGGGGGGTGCCGTGCCGGCACTCGCGAATAACAACGAAGCGGCATCCTCAATGGGGGGGGGGGGGTAGCGTCCGGGCGTTCAGCGCCCACCGGGGAGATGGAGCAGCCGAGATCGCCTCGCGCGTAGGTTTTATTTTAATTTGGTGCAATTGTGAACAATAGCCATATCAGACGTGAGTGCATCTAATCGGCCATAATCATTGGTTCGCTGCAGCTCAAAGGCTTGTGCGAGGTGGGTCGTCGCCGCACAGCTAAATAACGGGTCGTCGCGCGTGAAGCCATTCGCGTCGCGCCGGCGCTGGCCGGGAATGTTCTCGCGCGCGCCGAACGGTATTGGCCGTAGACTCGAGTGGAGCCGTCTTCGATTGTCGGAACCCCCCCCCCCCCGGCCCCCACGCCGTCGGCGAACTTATTTCGTCGGTGATCGTCGGAACAAAAATGACAGACGCAACGTGGTTGTGACAGACGGGGGGCGGTGGCTCCTCGATGGCCCGGCGTGTCGTTGCAGGCGCCGCAATTTGTCGTTGGAAATGCGCGATTAGGGAGCGCCTTATAAGGAGGTGTGTGTGTGTTGTGCGCGAGTCCTCCGTTCCCTCGAGGTGTGTGTGTGTGTGTGGGCAGCCCGGCCTGCATACCGTCACATAAAGCGGCCTTTAGAAACGTAGCAGGCCTTTTTATTATTATTTAACATTTCGTTTGTTAATTTAAAGCGAAACATGAGTCTGGAAAATTTTTGTGCTACCCCCGACGTTTTTTTTGTGTGTGTGTAACAGCAACGTCGCCGCTGTTTTCAGTGGGCGTGTTTCAGTACGTGAAAATGTAGTGATTTTAAAAAAATACACCCAGCAGAACTGAGTGTCTTGACGGTGACTGCTGTTTCATGATAAATAGTGATCTAAAATAAACAGGTTTAAAAAAAAATAGTATTTCCCGTTCAGTTATTGACTTGAGCTGTTGCTGGAGGTTCCACATTCCTATGACAGAGACAAGTCATCTCATAAGACAAACGCCTTTTTGTCAATCCGATGTAAGGGGAGGGCCTCCCAAGTGTGGGTACTCGCACATATTCCACAACATCTGTCCGTCGTGTGAGAGTAGGCCAAAGGTAACGCTTTACACGCGGGCTGTCTGCAGCTTCCTCCAGTGGAAGCCATTGCGCCAGCGGTTGCCCCGTACACAAGAAATTGCACGGCTGTACCTTCACTTTTATTGACGTATCCTGTCAGCGGGGCTGTTGATGGCACGTCGGTTGCCGGTTACTGGTTGTGTGTTGCCGGTTGCCAGCTGTCCGTTGCTGGTTGCTCCTTGTCAGTTGCTGGTTGTCATTTGTCGGTTGCCAGTTGTCGGTTGGTGGTTGGCGGTTTGTCGGTTGCTGGTTGTCATTTGTTGGTTGTTGGTTGCCAGTTGTCGGTTGCTCGTTGGTGGTTGGCGGTTTGTCGGTTGCTCGTTGCCGGTTGGTGGTTGGCGGTTTGTCGGTTGCTGGTTGTCAGTTGCTGGTTGCCGTTTTGCCAGTTGTCGGTTGCGCTTCGTCGCGGCGTGGACCTGACGGTTCCCCTCGCCTTCCCCGTCCGACCCCGTTTCTCCCCCCCCCCCACATCCAGACGACGCCAAAACGGAAAGTGCCAGGTCCCGAGGGCGAGAGCCTGAGTGACGACACCACGTCCACCTTCTCCAGCCAGGATTCGCCGTCGTATGGCGGCGGCGGAAGCGGCGGCGGCGGAAGCGGCAGCAACGTGACGGCGGCGTCGCCCCCCTACCCCGGTACGTTGAGCCACTCGGGGTCGCCGTGCGCCGGACGGGAAGCGGCAGCCTGTTATTGCGTACCACAAAAGCGCGTACACCGAGGATTGCCTGTGGTTTTTTTTTGGTGCGGGGCGGGGGTTGTCAGCGGGATCTTTATCTTTGTTCTTTGAAAGTGTGGGTATTCCCACCTGTTACAAATTCGTCGGGGGATCGAGTGGACAAGTAGACCAAATACCCTCTGGACCGGGCTCTCTGTAGCGGAGGCTCTTCCGCCAGTAGTGTTGTGAACAAACGGTTGCAGGGCTGCACCTTTACCCTCTGGCCCTCCTTGTTGCAGAAGAGCTGCTTAGCTCAGCGGGCCTCACCATTGTATTCTTTTGTTTTGATTTGAAGCTTGCGTGACTGCAGGAATCCATACTCTTTTGGTTCTTACGGTAAAGTCACCAAGTAGGTAGAAAATAAATCACGACGTTTCGGGCGCAACACAAGCGTCCGTCGTCATGTGGGAAAGCGATGGTCTGCTGCTGAGGCAGACTGTTTTAAAAGGTTTGAAATGGGTGTAGCCCAACGGTCATAAAGAAGTGGCCGGGGCCAGTGATGTTAATGTGAGAAATTAGCATGATGTTAATGTGAGAAATTAGCATGTAACTGTAGAAAAGAAGGAAAGCGGCCTCCTCAATGAGGGCACGGAAGTGGCTATGTTAAGGCGAGAGATTAGCATGATGTTCATGTGAGAAATTAGCATGTAACTGTAGAAAACAGTCTGCCTCAGCAGCAGGCCATGCTTTCCCACCTGATGACGGACACGTGTGTGTTGCGCCCCAAAACGTCGTGACTTATTTTATTTTACACGTATACGTGACTTTACCGAAAGAACCAAAGAGTATTCTTTTGTTGTTGTATTATTTGTTGTTGCAACTTGTTGACCCGCCCATCCTGGACATCTGTGAAATAGAGCATCAGAAGCTCATCGGACTCCTGCAGTCTAAATAAAGATTCTGGTTGGGTGTGTGTGACCCGCTTGGCGATTGGACGTATGGCTATTGAGACAGCATCGAAGTCGTGGAAGTTCAGAAGTTTATTTCCACCGAGGGAAGCCCATTGGGCTGTGCAAGCCCGTCTTCGAGGGCGACTCGGATTTTGTGGTTCATCATTTTTTTCGCGCGTGTCGTCCTCCCTCCTTCGCCCGGCACAGCCGATTTTAACAGAGTTGGTTCAAACTCGATTTGGTGCTTTCGTGACTGCAGGAATTAATCTTTGTTTTTTTTTCGGTAAAGTCACGTAGAAATAAGAAAAACAAAAATTGCATAATACACGACGTTTCGATTGCAACACAAGCAATCATCGTCAGGTAGAGGAAACACATAACCGCAGATATGTATATACAGACCTTAAGTAGAGGGAATTAACACAGATATACCAGGGGATACAGAGAGACGGAGCATCACACTAAATCAAACATAGTTTCCAAATTTTGCTAAACCCTGTTTGAACAGAGTTGTCACGTGACGAACGAGCGCGGCAATTTATCACGGCTTCAAGTCATTCGGTCGATTTGGGATTTTTTTAACCTGCAGCGGACCTGCCGCTTAAAAAACATTTGGAAACGGTAAAAGACACGACGTTAGGTCATTTCTGTTCAGCTTTTCCGGTTTCCAGCTTCACGACCTGTGCTGTGATTCCATTACCGCGGAATTGACCGTCTGTAACAATGAGCATTGACAAAGGACGTGGAACAAAAGCTGAGGAGTCAGGGGGGTTGATTTCTTGAAATTGCACTGAGATACAGGGAGAGGAACACATCGATAGGATGACCAGACGAACGTTCGAGGCGTCGTGTTGACTGTCAAAGAAAACTAAGTGGGCTCGGGGCAGGGGACGCATCGTGGTTAGGAGGGACGATGCCCAACGGTTGATGGCTTAGGATTGAGTCGCAGCCAAGGGAGGAAAATATAGGCCTGAGATGATGACCATCGTGTGAAGGTGGAGGGGGGGACACGGTGAGTTGTGCAAGAGTGAGGTGGGTCGTGACATCGCAGGGCTGTTGGGGATGGCGACGGCATGGGAAGGTTGTAATCCAGCAGTGGATAGATCATGGCTCATGATACTGATATGTAAATGTACCGTTTATATGCACGTTTGTGTGTATGTATGTGTTTAGTTGGCACAGTAGGGTTTACAGCTGGTGCATCTACCTGCCATTTCAGTCGGCCAACCCATGGTACCTGGGTCTCTCCCGTGACCTCTTGTTCGCAAGCCTTTGACACCTCACGTGGCCTCAAAGTGCACCTGGCCTGGCACAGGCGCCGTGGTGACCTCACCGTCACTTAGTGGCGAATGGCGGCTGTGTTGGTATTGGTGTTTACATGTATTTGTGGCATGTATATATGTATGCTACTCTTACTGATTCTCTGTTAATTCCCAGCGTTTACCTTTACACACACGTGTGTGTGCCCATGTCAACGTGTCCCGTATATTTGTGTATGCGTTTGTTTATACGTGAATATGATTTATGTGCGTATATATGCGAAATGTCAGTTCGTGCGTGGGAATTTGATGGGATTGTGACGTCTCATTACCGTGACGGATGGCGACGACATGGCACGAGGCCTTCATCCTTCAGTGATAACGATGACATCGGCGATGATGAATGCTTCCACATTAACTAAAACCACGAAACCCACAAAAAACAACAGCAGCCATGGCTGCCCCAATGATTCCGAGTCGTGTGACGGAAGAGAGCATTTGAATGGACTGCGTAGGTTTTTCGCGCTTGTGCTGTATGGCTCTCGGACCTGTGCTCGGGATGGTGTTCGGCACGCCGCCCGACGGTCGTTTATGGCGCCGCGTTGGCGAGATGTCAACTACCTCGCCTGATATGCAGGAGGTCGTGGGTTTGGATCCCAACCCTGACACCCGTTGTATATTTGGAGTTTGCACGCTCTCGCCATGCCTGCGTGGATTTTTCTCCGTGTCCTCTGGTTTTTCCCTCTACATTTAGAAACACGCGTTTTAGAGTATTTGAATGCTATAGATTTCCGCAAAGTAAGCCACTTCATTGAGCTATCGTTTGTGGCCAGGTTGCTTCTGAAAAAGAGTGATATAGCTCAGTGAGCCTTAGTTTAGAAGGACTTCCCGGAGGTCCCTTGTGCTTGGGAGTGAGACGTCTGGACGTACAGGGACTCCTCTACTTACGAACTTTCAGAGATACGAACAAACTTGTCCGTATGTCCAGTTGCCTGTTCCGACCAACCGCCGCGCAATGGTTGGCGGTGGTGGCATCTACATCGGCAGCACATGAAGAACCAGTGGCATTTACATCTACAGGAGATTGTACAACTTTTAAAGCCATTCCTAATATTTAGTGTACACACCATACAACACATTTGGAATCGACAAGTAAAGTTGGACTTGCGAACAAATCGACTTGCGAACAGACTTCTGGAACCTAACTCGTTGGTAAGTAGAGGGGTCCCTGTAGTGCTGAACAACACGCGGGACAACTCCAAAACGTGGCTGAGAAGCCGTGGCGTTTTAATCTCGCCATGTTCGCGTGCGACGGGAGCGAAAGCGGTGGGGTTGGCGGATCGGCTAAAATAACCACAGCCGCGGCGATGCCGGTGGCAAAAGTCTCCCGACGTTTCTGGCGGGCGCTCCTCTCCCCCCTCCCCTGGAGCCTCGTGAATGGTGTGTTGTTTTGTTGCCCACTGGCTTGGCCGCCCCGTGGCTCTGACGTGGGTCAAGTGTCCGTTCGTTCCGTGCTATGCTCTGAGCGGAGTAAATTTTTCGGTGGGTGATAGGCCGATGAGATGTGGATTCTGGGACTGTAAGAGCTCTTTAGCTCTTTTTCAGAGGCGGCCTTCGCCACAAACGATACTTCAAAGAAGTGGCTTATCGTGTGGACATTTATAGCAGCCAAATGCTTTCAAGGCATGTTGATTCTAAATGTGGAGGGAAAAACCGGAGGACAGTGGGGAAAAATCCACGATCACAGGGAGAACATGCAAACTCCAAATATACAGCAGGCATCGTCGGAGTCGGGATCGAACCCACGACCTCCTGCGTACCAGACGAGGAAGATGACATCTCGCCACCGCGGCGGAAGACTGGAGAGCAGCACCAATCAGGGTGGCAACAATCGTTGAAATCAAAGGTGCAGCCTTACGATGACTTACTCGGCGACTGCGGGCAGAAGAAGGGCCTGCTGTAGTTGGGTGGAGCGGCAGATGCAGTTGTTTAATTATTATAATTATCAATCATAGTTATTGTTTACAAGCGGCATGGCGAGATGACATCACACGGAATTACGTCATCGCCTTGGCCACCAGGGATCAGCGCAGGGTTTTTATCGCCAAATTTTGGGCAATAGCGCTTTGATGGACGTGGACGGTTTTTTCCAGGGCAAGTGCCACAACTTTTTCGCTAAAATTCCGTTCGTGTTGAATCATCTATACGAGAGCTATCGTGTCGCTCTTCAGACGAGACAGACAGAGCTCATGTAATAATGTTTTCAAACTTAGTTTGAAGACTGAGATTTGTAAAAAATGAGTTTGTATGTTCTCCCCATGGGCAAAATGTTAACTCCCTCACCTGGTATACAGGAGGTTGTGGGTTCAATCCCGACCCTGACAATGCCTTTATATTTGGAGTTGGCATGTTGTCCCCGTGGTCGTGTGGATTTTTATCCAGCTCCTCCGGTTTTTCCCTCAACATTTAGAATCAACATCACGCGTTTAGAGTACCGGTATTTGGCTGCTACACATTTCCACATAATGATAAGCCACTTTGTTGAGCTATCGTTTGCAGCTAGGTTGCTTCTGAAAAGCTCTACATAGCTCACCTGGTAAAATATATATATTTATATTATATATTTTTTTTATAGTTACAAATCTTGAGCTTTTCACGCGCTGTAGGAGGGAATGTGTATTCATAATCTCGCCGTGGATGCATTCGCTTATTCCGCATTCGCAGTTGATCATTTCCTCCCCCCCGTGTTTCAAGCCGCTAGCGCTTGCTGC